TGCTGATTATCTACAAATTTCTCATGCACTTGTCAGCATTACAGTAAAACAGTAATTATTCATTATAATGGTAGTATTAATTAATCCCTCCAATTAACCCTTGATCCCCCTGAATTAAGGTTAATAACACCGGTGCATGTGACACCAAAGGACAGATCTGAGTCTGGGAAATCCTTTCCGACTGAATTGTGAGCAACTAGATGATTTTTTTAACCTGCCAGGACAAAAGTAAAAATAAAAAAAAAAAAGCCTTGTAATAAAATACCAACTAGATCATTACTATTGCCACGTTTTTTCCAATATTATTTTTCATGTTTACCTTTCTTGCATCTCGTATCATCTTCCGAACAGTTTCCTTTATGGTGTAAGGCTGTGCTCGTGGTGGATGAAAAAGCAGATCAATATTTGTGCCACCAGAAATTCCAGGCATCAGATAGGGCCAACCTAAGTCAAGATTTGGAGCCTCCACATCTGATTCAATGGGCCAGTACGTCCCCGAGGAAGAGGTGTCATCAATGGCATGGTTAGAGGAATAAATTGTGTTTTGGGGAAGTTTGTGAACATTGTTCAAAATATAATCAATTTCCTCATCTGCTAGGAACTCCGAACATCTCTCTTTGGAAAGAAATTCTTTGTAGGCTTCTAAACCTCCTTCAATCAGAGCATCAATAGCTATTCGGTACCATTCCTTGTAATGAGGTTCAATATAGTTGTCTGATCTGCATTCATCATGTAAGGAGGACAGCAAAGATGAAGTTTCCATTTTCACATGTATTTTGTATGAAGTCTTTTAAGTGTCCATTCATGAGCTGATGAAATGTATCTGCAAAGAGAAAATAAGTAAGAAAACAGTAAGAATATTTCTAGATATCTATGATATGCACACAGTTATTAACCACGATACTTTTCTGGTAAAGTTGCTCTAAGTTTTTCTAGCATTTTCCAAGCATTTAAAAATATTTTGAAAAGGCTCAGAGACTACTATTGACAAAAATTAAATATTAAAGAGATAAATGTTAAATAGACATATAATATTATATTAAAGAGAATAGATAAAGAGCTTTTACATAAAGTAAACTAAACACAAATTTCAGTGATTTTAGGAAGTTCTGATATTACAAGCTATGTCAGAGCTCATGGTACACCAAACATCCATAGTAGTAACACCAATACATACCCAATGCATGTTCACAGGCTGTGTTTCAAAACCCCCTTTGCAACAACTGACCGAGTACTGTCCAAAGAAACACTTCAGAAACCAATCAAATTTCCTACTTTGTGATGCATTACTGTCTCTGCAATGCATCTCTTTCCTTTGGCTTCTTTGAAACCACAGTCATCCAGGTACTTCTCCTTATCTATCTGTTCTCCCATGCTGATCTAATCCATTTGTTGCTCCCAAGCAGGACTAGCCTACCTCATTTCAGTGAGTTATGAGGAACTCCAGAAAGATTTATCCTCCCACATCTGGGATCAAACTCTGAATCAGCAATTTGATGTCTAGTTTCCACCCTGCTCATTCCTTCTGCCAAAAGGAGCGGCTGCTTTAATCTTTTTCTTTTCTTTTTTTTTTTTTTTTCTTTTTTAACATTAATAACAGGTGGGGGAGGTGTTTTCATGACAGCAGCATCAGCACAGCCACGTAAAATAGAAAGATGGTAGCACATCTTCAGGACTAGGGTATGAAGCTTAAGAGAATGACTGTAGAAGCAGGAAGAACACCCAACGAAGGAAGAATAGTTAGAAAAAGCTTGATAGCCTGAAAGTTAACATTGGGTTTCCCTAAAAGCCTTATTAATAGTATAGCAGTATAATCGCAAATAGTCATATGGAGTTCTGATTTAATTTCTGGCATTTAAATGGAACTTAATTCCCTCTTCCCATCAAGACCTTCCAGATATTTTTGCAAACAGTGCAATTGCTTTCCACTGTCTGTTGGGAACAGTTTAAGTCTTCCCGAAAGGAAATGTAAATTAGCTATATTAACCTAAAGGAATGAAAATAAAAATCTCCATAACTACTGATACTTCAAAAACCAATTAAATGTTCAATTAAACCAAGATTTATAAGGAACTTGGGAAGTCTGAGGTTAAAAAAAGACCAAGAAATAAAAATCCAGATCTGAAGCTGGCATCAGCATGTCATATGGAATAATTCCATTTGAATCCTGTCTCTCAGCCAAGTAGCAGGGCAGATCTTCCCAGATAGGATTGCTTTCGAGCCTGGGGGAAAGGAGTGTTCCTGGCTGCTTCAAGAGTAGCTCTTTGTGGTGAACTGGAAAGCAGAACACGAAAGGGATCTGACTGCTCTCCCCCCAACTAAAAGCTACATGTATTCCTCTGACAGCTACTCAGGGCTTCATTCTACACTGCTCTCACAAGAAGAAATGAAATGTTATTAAACAGAAGCGATACTATTTCCCTTCTCACAGATGCAGATACAGCCTGTGGCAGAAGGTGACGGAGAACTAAGCACACAGGCAAGACAGACAGATTCAAAGATTAAACTCTAAACATACTGTAAAATTAAAACAGTCACAACAGGCCCGGCCCAATTGTCTGGACCAGGTTTTCAAGACATTTTAGATATAGAACGAAGAACAACCAAGACTACAAAATACAGATACTTAGCCGAGTTGTTCTCTAAAGTCTGAACAGTCACACAGGTGACTTCATTGAGATTCCAGCACACCCCTCTTTTAGGGCCCTCCAGGACAAGTCATTCTCTAGTCACTGTCAGTAACACAGTCAGTCTTATTATGACATGTAAGAATAAAAACGATTTTACAAAGGCAAGTGAAAGATATTTCTAAACTTTTTACTACTTTGGAGTGGATATACTTCTAAAATAGAAATTTTCCCACTGACTGAATACATACAATTAAGAACGATGTGTTTAATTCAAAGGCCTGTCTGAAATGATTTTTTCTTCTTCTCAGTCTGACCTCTGAAAATAACTTAAGGGAATAGGGCTATATTTAATGTGCAACATTGTGCAATACCAAATATTGAATGTTATGAACAAATAAAAAGAAAAAAAATGATTACATGTATATTTTGCCTCACATGCATTTCTTTTATTGGGTTTGGTTCTTTCATTTGTTTTTCACAATAGTATAGTATATATCTTGACTTTTCATTGAACAGAATGAATTAATTAATTGTGGCATAGGTCAAATACAGCAACTTATGTTCAGACTTTGGCTGAAAGCGGAGTATACATATAAGTAACTGTGGAAACTGCTTCTGGTGCAGCATCTTCCAAACAAGAACAGTCATTTTACAGCGAACAGTGATCTTTGAAGTTGATGTTTGATTTACAAGTGCTGTTTACAAAAGAAGCTTAAAGCAGTGCACATTAATTTAAGAAAGTAAATGTAAAATTTGCCAGCATGGAAATAAATCACAGAACACTCGAGACAAAAAAAAAATTTTAATCCTGGTTTTTGAAATTAAGGACATCAGCATGAGACACATTCATATGAAACAAAAGAGAATTTCCAAATTAAAACAATGGCTTCAGGTATACTTGACAAAAGCTCTAGATGTCTTGACGCAGGTATTTTTCTCCTTAGAAGGTAAGAGCTACTGTGCAGAAACTAAATCTATGAAACCATATAATTCTGGATAAAGACGCAGAGGTTTAGACAAAATTCTTAATAAACATTTTGGTGTCTTCTTCAACCATGTATTGTGACTTCTGCATAATAAACTTGATTCTTCAAAGGTCCTCCTCAGGTCAACAATTACATTAGCAAGGTTGTGCAGAGTGAGGCCCATCTCTGGAGGCTTACAGATCTTTATCACACTTTATGTACATGATCACAAATTTTACCAGCACCAGGAATGCTGTCATTCATCCTCTGAGAAATAACCTTGTCTGTTAATCCCTGCCCAGCATATCAACCACTTTCTCTGCTTGAACACAGGGATCAGTCACTTAAAACTTTTTTAGTAAGTACCATTAATGGCCTAAACTGAATTTAAACTCCAATAGAGCTGCTCAAACTGGATCTTCTGCTGAAGAACACAAATTCTGAATCCCACATTGATGTGATGGTCTTGTCCTTCTATTAACAAGGTGCTCAAACCTTTCTAATGCCATTATCAGAAACCCAGCAAGACTAATCTTTTCTCTGAGAAAGAAGTAACTCTGCCTTTATTTAGAAAGATTTGGAGAGTATCCCAGATTTCACAAATGCAGCAGATGACAAATGTCCACTAAAGAAAATTATGCAATATTCTATAGGAATTCCAGGCTAGTACTAGAGACAAGGAACCTCCCTCCCATACCAACATTCACAGGATTTGAAAAATTTCCTATTCAGCAACTTTAGGGAGCAGCTCTAACTTTAGGCTCGTACAGCCAGTCCTTGGCAAAGGCCTGGCCATGGTGTTCTCCTCCTCAGGATTCCTTATCTCTTTTCCAATGGAAATGTGACTACTTTGACAGGGTCTGCATAAAGTTTCAACCTTGCCAGGAAATTTAAACCTCGGGAACAGCTTGTTGCAAGTTGTTGCACACTCTCGGGTATGGTTTTTGGGGCATCCACCTGAGCACCCATGGCTTGGCCAAGGAGCCTCCCCACGGCTTAAGGGCCTGGCATGACCAAGCCTTAACAGAACAAACAGGCGTTTTATGACACCTGCCTTCCACCAACCTTTCTATTAAAGAATTGTATCAAGAATAAATAATAATTACCTTACATTAAGCAGTGACAGGCAATTATTTAATTATTGACGAAATTACATTTTCTGTGAATACAAAGGCCATCAAATCCAAGTGAAAAACAACACCGCAAGCGCTCCTGCTTCTTTCCTTCTTTTCTTTTTCTGTTTTTGTTTGTCTGCTTGTTTTGCGGCGGGGATCCGGGGGGGCGGGGGGCATGGCTTTGTCTGTCCGACCAGAAAGTTAACTTTCCAGGCAAAGCAAGGGCAGCGGGCGCTCCTCCGGGCGGCCCCGCACGTGTGCTGCCCGNCAAGGCACCGGCAGCCCCGCGGCGGGCCCGGGAGCGGGGTGTGCGTGGGAGATTAAACTCAAAGTAAACGCTGGCTTCAAGAAAAAATAAACCCGTCAGCCTCGAGTCACGGTTTCCAGGCTAACTCCGGTGGAGCAAGTCACGGCAAGAGAGCGATACCCGTTTGAGACCTTCAGAGTCGGATATATGGACAAGCCCCTTTTCCATAGCTCAGCTGCTTTGAAAAGGCTCTTCTTTCGCTGTTGATGTCTCGGATGAGAGAAAGGACCTGAAGGTAGAGCCCCCCATCCTGGCAGCAATGCACCTGGGCCTTCCTGCTTCGTTCTTCTCTCCAGCAGCAGGGCTGGGCACGCCGCAATCCACATGTTGAAACCTTGGGAGAGCCCTCACTGAAAGGCTCTTGGAAAACACGGTCATCTCTTCAGCAGGATCTTGCAACCACCGAGAGATCAGCACATCCCATGTGTATAACAAACACACTGAGGGTTTTTTTTTTTTTGTAATTTTAGACTTTTTGTAGACTTCGTCCACATCATACTCTGGTGCCTAACTGCAGGCATTCCTCTTTTTTGAGGCATTTAAGACAGTGCAGTGTAACCCTTACTGCTGGGCTTTATTAGCAATAACTAATCCAGTCTGGTTTTAAGCACAAGCTCATTTTCCTAACTTCTACTGCCTAATAGTAAGTGTGGGATGTATCCTGTGCTGTGCGATTTTGATGATGGTTTCTGAGAAGAAAACAGTAAAAATATGCAGTATCTCCACAGCACTGTTTATATATTTATATGTATATAAGTGTGTAAGTCTGGCCATCAGGGAGTGTTTTTTTCCTGTGCAGTTAATTTAGGTAGTGGACTGCACAAGAGGAAATAGTTGGTGTTAATATACTCATGGACTACCTTTTACAGCCAAAGGAGCATCTGGATTAAATGATTAGACTCTTTTCACACTGAAAAAAGACTATCTCTGGTTTTGATGGGAAAAAAATGGTGAAAAGTGCTTTAAAAACAAAATTTTAAAGTGCACATAGAACTTTATAATTAGTACACAGCAATTTTTGTCCCCTGAAAATATGTAGTCAGGAAGGAGAACCTGTGTTGGTGGAAACTTACCATAAAGAGGTGAGGCTATCTAAATTTTGAAAAGTGGAGATCTAGAATTATTTGTGAAAGGGTAGGAAGGTAGATGAACGGTCACAAAACTTCTTTTGACCTTGGTTGGACTTTTATTACACAAAATTTATAAGCCTGTTTCTTCTAGAGAAGTTAAGTGGTTGAGTAAGACAGCATAAACAAAAAGCCATAATGAGACCAGTCATAGCTTTCTAAATAAGGAAATCTGCATGAAGTATCTAGAGGTTTTTGCCTCATTCGTATCTGTACAGGAAAAGGTTTTTTTCTGCTCCCTTACGATGCCCTTACAGCTCCCCTACAATTTATCAATTGAAGCACTCCAGTAGCTCTACTAGAGCAGACACTTCATAAAACCTAACTTGGGTAATGTGTTTTGGAAACTGTTAGCTGTCAAAATAAAGAATGTTTTTACCTAGCAGGTAGCAAACTTTTGTGTCCTGCAGCCACAGGCATCAGTGGAAGCAGACTTCCATGAGTGTGAGTGAGCTTAATAAGCCGTAAGACAAATTCTTAAACAATACGCATAAAACTGTATTGTGAAAGTATGAAGCAGGAGTATGTGCTTCAGTATCTTTGATCCTAGAGTTGTGGAACTGCAGCCATATGAGGGGAGGGACTGCAGAAATTGGGCAGCCCTCATTTGCCTAAACAGCCTTTCCTTCTGCCATTGAAAATGTAGCATTGGTCAGGAGCAGTTGAAGCATCCTATCATTTGGAATTGTTTTACTGTAATCCAACAGGTTCCAAAAGCTTCAAAACTACAGAAGTTCTTAGACGTAGCTCTTTCATAAACTACATGGGATAAAAGAATCAACTCAATATGTTTTGATGCCACCATCTTTAGAATGCTTGTCTTAAGTGACCTGGGTACTCAGATGAGGTGATTGTGCTGATGGATGATCATCCCTGCTACTCCCATCCATTTCCAGTTCTGAGACTTTTTTTTTTGTATTGACAGATCATCTTGCCCTGTACAAGTCTAGCTAAATGCAAGCAGAAGATAAAAGATTATTAGCACATATGAAATGACACCAGTCCAAAAGTTTTTTCTATGGATGATTATTAAGGAAAAATACTTATATGAATTATCTTTATATTCCTACTGCATGCTTACTAAGATTTCATTTAGATTTACTAAAGGGAACATTGATTTGGAAGCAGTGGGTGTTTATATAAGTCATAATACCTATGAGTTGAGCTTTTATTAGCTTTTAAACAGGTGAAGAAGGAATACAGTTGTGAAGATTCATACTATTTACAAATCAATGGCCATCTAATCTAAAACATAAGCACAGAGACTTCACATACTAATCTTAAAATTAGAGGAAATGTGCTTTTACAGATATGAATATAAAAGGAGCTGCACTGCATTTATACAAAGCTTGATGGGTAGTGATACAAAATCCACACCTTTTGTAAAACAGCAGAGAGAAAAATAAGACAGAAAACTACAAATTAAATGGAAAAGCAGGTGCCCTACTATCAGTACATCTTTTTCAAATTAAATAATCATAACCTACTCTATTTGGTATCATATTCTTAAATCAAGAATACATTAATTTGGTCCTTTTAATATTAAGGAAATTGGACATTGGCAATGTCCAATCACTGGCTAGTTTGCCAGTAACTTTCACAGCTTCTATCAAGAAAAGGCCAGTAGTCAAAATACAAAGTATTAAAGTCAAGGTCTTTTACTGAGAGGATTTCTAACCTGTATATTGAGGCCTGGGTATATGTGCTATACACTATATGGTAGATTTTTGTTATAGGTCAGGTCTTGTGTTAAAGGCTTGTACAAGCCTTCTGAAATTAATTCAAGAAGTTCAGTTGTGTGAAGAGAATCTGTGTGTTTCCTTTGAGAAACTTATGGTAAGAGATGAATAAAGTTATGCAAAGTACATTATTTTTGAGACACAACTAAATAAATAGAAATCCACCAGTCTTTGTTTTCTGCCCACAGCATAACTAGCAGAGAGAGAGGATAAAAGAGCAGAATGAGAGGTATGATTGAAGGTGAAGAAGAGTTGCCATCTGAGGAAGAGTCACTCAGTCTGAGACTCTTCAGACTGGAATGGAGTTGGTGATTGAGGCTTCCTGGTGGTGGTTCATTACATGACGTGTAGTTCCAATGTACAACAGGCCTGAATACAGAGAAGGAAACTCCTCTGAGGTCAACTTCAATATGAAGCCAGTATCTCTCTTTCAGGCAGTTCCAAGACAAGATGTTCTAAACTGATGGAGGTTGACAACTATTCTCTGCTCCTGTATCTTGTTCCTCTCACTTTCCTCTTGGCCACTTGTCTTCATGTCATTAAAGGGCAAATACAGGGCTACACATACCTTTGTTCTAAATTCATGCTACTGTTCTTATATTCCTTCAGAGCATGCTAAGGTCAATTTATAAAGAAGTTGCAGAAGCACGGATTTTGTACTTGGGATTAACTTCCTTCTCTGTGGATCAGAAAGATAGCTCCTCTTGGTCGTCTCTCAGGCTTGAGATACCAGTGTGTGCCATTAAATATCATTCTACCCCTGCTTTTGGGGAAGCAGACTGTGCAATGGGCAGTAGGTTTCTCTGAGATTTTATGTTTTCTGAGACTTTAGGTGTCCTTGTTATTCAGTATCCTGGAAATTTTTCTGCCCAGGTGCAAATGTTGTCGTAACTTTCAAGACACCTACTTCAGGATGATTCTTGTAATTGTTTTTTCTTTGCTCATTTGCCTTTACTTTGACATCCACCTTTGACTTACTTTGGAAATAATACTCATTGTACTGTTACCACTACAATCTGGTAGTAATACAAATTTTAACAGAAAAAAACCCCAAAAAATTAAATTAATCTTATTTTCCTTTGGCTGGAACACTTTCTTGTATCTTGCTCTCCACTTGCTCTTTACCAGTGAACTTTCTTACTGGACTTAGCCTGTTCTCCTCATCAGATCTTCTCAAGGGCTGGTGCAGTACCAGAGTTTTACATCTTAACCAGGTATTTTGCGATCCAGATTCAGGGCTTTGGGGTTTAGAGGTTAGGGATGAATGAACTTGTGTCTTCAAGACAGACATATTTTAGGGTAATGTGAAAATGAAAATCTTATTCCAGTTTAGTAAAAAGTAAACCTACAGTAATTTTTTTAAAGTGTATACATTTAATATAGAAACTGCTATATACAAATTCACATTCTATGTAAGAATCAAATGATTAAACACAGACATACACCAATTGGTCTGAGATTTTGAGTACATTAAAGTCCAATCTGCTGTTTATCCATTAGTAAAGGAAAATATCTCTTATTTTTTAAGCTGTTTCTCCTCCTTACAGATTCCATGAATGTCTATCCCCATGTAGGAAGGGAGAATAAGTCCCTTATAGAATGGCAGGTTGTCTGCTGTTGACATTAATGTTTTAATAATCTGCATATCCAGATCTTGCATTAGGCCATCACCAAAACCCCAAAACAAGTACAGCAGGTTCATAGAATCATGGAATGTTAAGTTGTTGGGCCTCAAAGATCTAGTCCGAAGCCCTCTGCCCTGGGCAGGGACACCTGGTCGCTAGACCAAGTTGCCCAAAGCCTTGTCGAGCCTGGCCTTGGACACTGACAGGGATGAGGCATCCACAACCTCCCTGGGCAACTTGTTCCAGTGTCTTGCCAACTACACAGTAAAAGATTTCTTCACAATACCTGACTTAGATTTCCACTCTTTTAATTTGTACCTCTTTGTTCTGTCTACAGTTCCTGATAGCAGTTGTTTCCTGCTTTCCTTAGGTCCCTTCAGATACTGGAAGGTTGTTGTGAGGTCTCCACAAAACCTTCTCCAGGCTGACCAGCCCCAGCTTTCTCAGCCTGACTTCATAGGGAAGGTGCTCCAGTCCTCATCAACTTCATGGCTTCTTCTGGACTTGCTCCCACAGTTCCATGTCCTTTTTATGCTGGGGACACAGAATTGGATGCAGCACTTCAGGTGGGATCTCACAAGAGTAGAGTGGAGGTATAGAATCACCTCCCTCACCCTGCTGGCCACACAGGGTGCCAGGGCACAGCTGACTTTCTGGGCTGTGAGCACTCTGCTGATTTGTGTTTAGTTTTCATCAACCACCACCCCCAAGTCCTTCTCCACAGGGCTGCTCTCAATCCCTTCTCTGCCCAGCCTGTAGTGGTGCCTGGGATTGCCATGACCCAGGTGTAGGACCTTGCTTTTCTGTTGGTTGAATTTCATGGATTTTGCACTGACCCATGTATCAAGATTCTCAAGGTCCCTCTGGATGACGTCCCCTCCCTTCATGTAGACTCTTGCTACATAGCCATTAGAATCATTGAGTCAAAAGGAGAATTCACAGCTCCTAGGTTTCTTGTGACTCAGAAAAAAAAAAGGTCCTGTAAATAAATTCATAGAAAGAAGAAAATGAGATAAAGCTAGGGGAACAAATTGTTTCTTGATTTGCACATGGTTTATTTTCAAAGCTGTAACAACTATGACAATGGGTTGGCACTTACAGGGACCCAATTTTTGCCTAATATTTACCTCTCTTTGGTGAGAGGTTGGCAAAAGGATGAAGTGTCTTTGTCTCCTTCCAATCCCAGAGTGCCTGGAGCTAGTTTTCCTAGAGCTGGTTACTTGGAGTCTTCAATGTTACCCTAGTGTTTGCTTGGATGCTTGTGGTCCTCAGGAACTTTATACACCCAAGCCCATCTTTCTTGTAAACCTTTTCTTATTCTAAAACTTGGGGAGGATTAAAAGTTTCACAGTGCCTTTGGGAGTTCTCTAGCCATCAAGAGTAATACTGGCAGAAGCAGAAGGGAAAAATAAACCAGGGAATAGACCAGCCAATATCAAATAATAAAATCACATTGAAATCTCAACAAAGGAAGTTATGTTAATGCTCTAAAGTACCAACATCATAAGTCTGAATGCAGCTACTAGAAATGGCAGGTTTATTCTTTCCTGGACTAGATTCCTAAACAGCCAATGACATTACAGCCAAGGAAGTTATCAATAGCATAAGTGGTAAAGAAGTGCCAGAAGTATTCCATCCTCAAATACAATGTTTTATTACGTGTCCACATACCTCTCCAGAAAACAAAAATGCACTATTATTAGGGAATGTTTATTGTCTGAATGGTACACAACAAATGCTGGAGTTCACTTAAGAGCACTATGAGCTCAGCAAATGTTTTCCCATAGATTTGGTGCTTTATAATTAGTGTGAAATTGTTAATTTACAAGTACAATTAATGAAACAAATATAGTTTATTCTGCATTTATTAAGGTGTCCTTAGAATTAACGTAGTAGTGTAGTGGTGACCATGAAAAATTAAGAATATCTGTGATTCAAATTTTTAAGACTAGAAAAAATCTTTCATCAAAGCATCTAATGCTGTTGTGGAAAGCAGACAAACTTATAGTCACTGACACTTCTCCAAATCTGGAATAGACACAGCAAACTTCAAATACAAATACAAATTGTGAACAACTGCTCTGGGTTAAAACCGAGGTGTTTCAACTACAGAAGAGAAACAATATTCAATTATAGCTATACTAGATCCATCTAATTCAACATCATGTCTTTGGCAGTAATTGGTCAGAACAAAGTATTTGGGTTAGTTTCTTGTCTCCCATCTTCATCTTTTAGCTCTTTCAGAGGCATGTGAGAGTTGGGGATGGTGAATTCCCGTCATGGTTGGCCCCAAAGCGTGCTGAAAACCCAAACATATGTGAATTCCCAGGTAGATAAAATACAGTCACTTGTTTCAGAATGTTTCTTGCTGTGAGGTTGTGGGAGGAAGGGGATACATTGTAATGGCACTTAGGCAGTGCTCTCTGCGACAAGCAGACAAGGAGATGCAAGAATCACAGGTTGCAGCAAGAGAAATTCTAATTGGGCACCGGAAAATTCTTCACTGTGGGGGTGGTTAAGCACTGGGATGTGCTTCCTGGGCAGCATGTGGGATCCACCTCTGTGGAGATTTTCAAAACATGACTGAACAGGTCCTTGGACATCCTCATTTCATTTTTCAGTTAAACTGACTTGAAGCAGGAGGTTGAACTAGATGGCTTCCAGAAACCCTTTCCAGCCTAATTTTTTTTTGTGATAGTCCCTGTCCTTATTTTCCTTCCTGTAACAGCCGTAATTCTGACAGAGGTTACAACATCTTGGAATGGTAAAATTCTTACCAGAGTTTTTTTTAAATGTAACATGTCTTTATGCATCTCTATTTTGTGTTCTGTTATAATCCCCAGCCTTTAACTGAAATTGCCTGATGATAAAAAAAAATTTGAGTCTATAAGTTCAACAGTTTTGCATTAAGAACACTTAAGAGCATTGTAGAAGGATTACCTCTAGTAAACTGAGGTTTGCGAATTCATGTGAGAATCAACTGAGAAACAGTGAGAAATGACATCCTGAGGTTATGAAATAGTGTTATTATCTGATTTTGTGTACAGATTTTATCAATAACAAATGGCTAACTTCTCTGATACTTAAATTGAGTTAAATGGAGTCAAAATGGAGTTAAAGCAGCAAGAGCAATGGGAAACTCTTCCCTCCTAACACTGGAATCTTCAGCTAGCTCTTAATGTCCTTAAGGACTGTCTTGAAATCCTGAAGCCAATAAATAGATAATATTTCTAAATACCAGTTTAGATTTGGAGCCATAATTGTGTCATGCTATATGTGTTCCTTATGTATGCATTATACACGACTATCACTTACAAAACTTCCAGCACAATACTGTCAGATTCTACAGATAATTGGTGAACTATCTGACACCAGAGAGAAGCTCTATGTCAAATATTTACAAATGAACAAGATGAAAAGTTTTTGTACTTTATAAATAACATTGATATGGCTGCAAGAGATTATGTTTCAGTGTTTAGAATAATGCTTTGAGTTGTCTATGATATGTGATGGTTAATCTGAAATAATCAGGTCCTTGGACAAAACATAAATTCAAATGTTTGTGGATTCTTTCCATTCCTTTCAGCTAACTGAAATGGAAAACCTGTGTAATGAAGGCCTAGAGGTGGATTTGAGCTGTCATCATATGTTTACCAATTATGAGACGTCATGTGCTCGCAATTCAATTTTGATCAAACAAATACATTAACATTTAAGTGTCAATGTTAATGTTACTTGTACCAAGTTAGTAAATTAATAAGGGTAGCTCAACCAAGGGCAAAAAATACATGGACTAAGGAATAATTGAGTAAAAAGGGCTGGGTTATGAACATGGAAATTGGCAGTTGCCCTCAGTAAGAATTGAACATGTTTTTAAATGGAAACATGTTTTTAACAGAAAAAAAGAAAGTGTTTACAAGACAGAAAATATCTGATGTTTGGTCGTGCTGATCTATAAATGCATGGCAGGCTAGAATGAGGCAGACTATCATAAAAATGTTAGCCACCATAAAAATCTTCTCCAAATGAAGTAAATACTATTTATTCTTATAAATATTACTTTCTTATATATATTACTTATATATAGGATATAACATATAATATATACATATAGAATATATATAATACATATATATATATTACTTATTCTTATATATATTACTTTCATATTTTTTATCAAAGCCTAAGGAAGTCCTGAATGAAGTACCAATATGATTTCAGCTATTACAAGAGGCTTTGATGACTAACACAGGATTTCAACCCCCTGTGTTTTAAACTGCTCGTCAAATAAGGTCTTCTTCTCAACTGTTATTTAAACTTGCTCCAGAAAATCTTATTTTTTCTTTTTAAATTTCTAGTGTGCCTGTTACTCTATGCTTGTGTATACAAAGATCTTGGCCCTTATGTGCCCCTTCACACCTAACTCATAAGCCTGATCAACTTCGAGAAGCTTTGAATTCCTGCTCACATCCCACATGATGATCAGATCAAAAGGTTCTCAGGTACTTAGGTTCTCAGTTGGCTCTAATCCTCTTAACTACATTTCAGACATTTCTATTTTATTTACTGTGATTTACAGTGAAATCATAGAAAATGCTCCCAATTCAACTTGCTTCAGTCACCTTTAGTTCAGGCTCGTAAGAAACAGCACAGATCTCAGCAGGGGCATGAGCAGAGCTCACCAGAGGAGCCTGGTGCACAGACTGCAGTGAGTAAGGAAGGCTTCCGGTGACCTCAGAAACGTGAAGGGCTGGTGACCTTCTCCAGCATGAACCAGAATGCAACACGTCCACACCCACAGGAAGAGCAACAAGTGCAAGGTCATGTCCAGTTGTTATTCTGCATAGCCTAGTAGTAGGAAGCAATGAAAGAACAGTGGAGCTGGAAGACAAGTAAACAACAGCACTTAGATTTTGATCAATAACCTCCAAATTGGCAGTTACATTTGGCATTTAATTGCTGTATTATTCATAGTAGAAGTAGCTTTTTCATGAAGGAGGGTCGTAATGAATCATGGTCTGAGTTTGGGAAACTACTGCCCATGTCAGAAGCAACACAGAGTGAGAGACAAAAGGATTAGTGAGAAATACCAATACAAGCAATTGAGATGTGATAAGAAGTATTCCTTAAGGGCCAGTTCATAGGCAAATAATTTAATAGCATCCTCTGTCGTCTCACCCCTTACTGAATGTGCACATACATACTGTTTTAATATACCTTCTCATGTCATTTTAACTGTCAGGAGTTTTGCTCTTTTCCTTGTCATCCTGCAGTTTCCCAATAAAACCTGCCATTCCTGAAAAAAAAATCATTCTCCTTTCTTCTTTGAGTTGGTTCATTACTCTTGCAAAATGTTCCTCCATAGCCTAATAAAGTGCAAAAGTAGTTCTGTAGAATGCATGTAAGTTTTGATTTGATTTAATTTCATATTGGGTATCACAGGAAGCCAGATACAACAAACAATGCATAATAATCAAGGATATTTATGATAAAAAGTGTCTGAGTAACTACGAGTTTGACTGAATTGTTCTTACTCCATCGCTAGGTAGAAAATAGCACAGTGGAGATGATAATGTTGTCAGCAGACACATAGGAGTCACACTATCCATAGAAGAAGCCTTGAGAGGTTTCTGAAAATGCCTGGCAGTAAGGGTGATCTTGGCTTTGAGAATGGAAATATGAAGATAGGGAGAAAGGAGATTTGTACAACATTTAATTCTGTGTAGTGTAAAACTGAAGTTCTAATTCAGTGGTTTTATTCATACCAGCAACTGGAAACTGTTTTGATAGTGCATTCTGGACATGTATTAGCCAGGATGCTGAGAAAAGCGGGTGAGTGACTGGCAGCTTTGAGGAGACCTGTCACAGTGGAACTGAGCAGATTACTCCAATGAGTTTCTGGCATCACAATAAATGGAAATACAGATGAAAATAGAAATTCTATATATGGAGCTTAAACTATCCAGACAGCAAATGTAATGCAAAAATGAGGTGTGTAGCATATTTATTGAAAGTTATGGATTAAAAAGAAAGTTAGATGGAAGTGATGATTTATTTAATAGGAAAATATGAGTAATTTATGCATAGAACTAAATACATTTGTCCAGAATATGCTGGTGCTCATACTTGGAATATAGCTCTTCTTCAAGTTAAGATTAATTATAAAGAGGAGAAACAAAGATGTTAATGCAGGAAAGATTGTCACAAATTAAGGTCAGTATTTTTCTTTATTTGGAGATTTATTATGTATTTACACTGGACAACTTTATATTTCAGATATTGTACCCTGATTGTGTTGGAATGTCTGATGTTAAATGACTTTTAGTGCTGGTAAACTTATCTAAGTCTGAATTCATATGTACTACAGTCTGCGTTTAACATTCTTAAATAAAAAGCATTTTCCAATCAGATCTAATATCTTACCCTTCATCATTTCCTCCATCACCCCACAAAGTTTTGGGTAAGCCTTGCCAATAGTTCATGAAGCAGCAGGTACAGTCCCATCTGTTCCTTTTTCTCCAGAAGAAAAGTTGTTTACATTTTATGCTGGTTTTTGTAGGATTCTGTAGGAAGAGTTGGGGATTTAAAAAATGAACAAACAAATAAAGCTGACAAACAAATACCTGGTATGTCTTAACAGGAAAATTTTAGACTGAAGAGACAGGTATTGCATCTGAAATGCAAATTACTAAACACACAATAGTTATTATTTCCTGTCAAAAATAATTTTATACTTCCTGGAGTGACCTAAAAAAAATTCCTTCTTTTGGAGAGTCACTTTATTTACCCTTAGGCAAAAAGTTGGACTGTTGTACACGTAAATTCATAAGAGCGTTGTATTGAGCAATGAAACACATTTACAGCTTCCTAATACCAGTTGGATCTTTTTTGAATGGAAGGTCTTCTTTCAGTAATGTCAGAATTCTATTTTTTCCCTCAATTTAATTGATTCTACCTACTTCATTCATTATGTAATGAACTGCTAAATTTCCTGATAAGATTTCAGCAACAATAATGAAAGTAATAAATTATTTTATAGTGATAGAAAAATGCTTACAAAGAAATCAGAAATACACATGGAAAACAAAAAGGACAATCAAAATAGTTTTATTGACATCATGTGAAAACCAGAACTTTCAATCTTTTCAACTATTTCATGCAATAAGCTCTTCATATAATTAAAATAAACTTGCCTACAGGGATAAACCATGCCAAAACAGCAATTGGAAAGTGAGGTGCTTTAAATGTGATGAATATATAAAAAAAAAAAAAGGCTTTCGGTGCAAATTTCAATCTGCCCTTTTCATGTATACACATTATCAGATAGCTTTTAATTACATGATTGTATCAGTATTGTTTCTTCACATTTGGAAATCCTGCCTTATTCAGTAAAGGGATAGTTATTCCTTATTTCTTCTTCCCCCAGTATTTGATATCAGATCTTA